GGCTCTGGGGGGGGGGAAAACAGGGAGAAATGGCATGAAGCCATGGACAGAGAGTTAAAGGCGCTGGGGACCGGAACACCTGGAAAGTCGTCCCCATCGGCGTGGCAAAGAACAAAACCATCCTCACCGGGAAATGGGTCTTCCGCGTTAAAACAAAAGCAGATGGCACAATTGAGAAGTTCAAAGCACGCTGGGTTGTGCGTGGATTCGATTAGGAGCACGGACGGGACTTCACCGAGACATTCGCCCCGGTTAGCCGACATACCTCACTTCAAATCCTTCTCGCGATCGCCGCCACGAAGAAAAAGAAACTGCGGCAAATCGACGTCGCCAACGCATTTCTCTACGCACCTGTTGATGGCGAAATCTTCGTTGAGTTACCGCACAGCTCCCACGGAGAACCCAACCAAGTTTGCCAGCTACTCAAGTCACTCTACGGCATCAAGCAGGCCCCGCGGCTGTGGCAACAGCACCTGCACGCCCGCCTCATCCGCATCGGCTTCAAGCAACTACTGCACGATCAAGGCATGTACCGGCTCACCAAAGACGAAGACTACATCCTGCTAATCGTCTACGTGGATGATCTTCTCTACCTCAGCGCCGAAAAATATGCCGACACTATCGCCAAACGTTTTACGCTCACACCAACAGCCATCTCCACGCCATACCGCTACACGGCAAGGAACGACAAAGGAGGCTCCGCCCTACTCAAGCCCGCCGGCATACGAGACTACCAGAAGAAGCTGGGATGTCTTCTCTTCGCAGCCGTCACCTGTCGTCCCGACCTCTCATACTCCGCAAGCCAGCTCGCTACCTATCTCAAAAGGCCTGAAACAAAACATCTGGCGGAACTCGACCGCGCTCTTCACTACTTCGTCAGCACCCCGACGGTCGGCCTGACCTACCGTAAGAACGCAACTGCACTGCCTAAGCTAATCGGTTACGTCGACGCAGATCACGCGGGCGACTCCGACAACAGACGATCGCGCACCGGCTATATCTATCGCTTCGAGCCTATCGGGCCTATCTCCTGGCAATCGAGCAAGCAAGAACTAATTGCTCTCTCGTCAGCTGAAGCATAATATATTGCACTCTGCTCAACCACCAAGGAGGGACTCTATCTTCGCGAACTGCTAGAAGAAGCGAAGTTAGCCGAGTGTCCCAACTTCACCCTGTTCTGCGACAACCAATCTGCAATTCGCATCGCCAACAAGAACGGCTTCGCGAACAGGACGAAACACATCGCCCTGCGATATTTCTTCGTGAAGTTCGAGATAGAGAAGGGAAGACTCGTCCTGTCATACTGTCCCACGTCCGAGATGGCAGCTGACTACTTGACCAAGAAACTCGGAAAGCAGAAGTTCGAATACTGCATGTTGCTGACTGGACAGAGCCACGTCAGCGACACTCCAGAAGCGAAGGAAAGTGTTGGAAACAATCGGTCCTAAAGCGCTTCTATCGTGTCGAAACACCAAGGCACAAGCGAAGCAAATCATATCGAGGCACCAGCGAGTCAACCCTCGGAGGTTGAAGTAACCGCTGGAGGTTACAGGAAAGTCAAAGGTCAGCGACCTTTGACTTGACAAAGGCAGCGCGACAGCAAGGACACACAACTGACTCAATATTGAGCAGTTGCCCGAGTCGCACTGTATCGAACCGCAACAACCAACAGTAAAACAGTTGTGATTCATATCTCTTCGTAATCCTTGTATTCTTATATAAACCTTTGTACTTGTTTTCTTTAATCAACTCACTTTGTTCTCACATACTAGTGCAAGGTGGTTCAGAGTCTCATCATTAAACGCTTCCGCTACCACATCACTCTACCCAGAGGTTTACCCTACCAAAGATCCTAAGGGGCTTTCAGCCCAACATTATGTAGCTTTTACCTATGAGAACACCCCCCTTTTTTCCCTGTATTTTTCAATCTACCCTAGGGTGTTATGTCCGGGAGAATATGGTATCCTCCGCAATACACCCCTCGTCGTGCGTCCAAGTGTGAAAAAATCCGACCCTGTTAGAAATTATAACTTTCTCATAACTGCCTGCTAGTGTAGCTACTGTGCAATATTTATCTTGTTATGTACAAATGCACGAGAGGGCATGGTTGGGTCACGGTGAGCATGGCATGGGTGGGGCACGCGGAGGGGATGGGCGAGGCGGGTGGAAGGGGCAGGGATGGGCGATGTCAGGTGGCATGGCTGAGAGGGTGTGGGAGTGGCTTCCCCCTGGTGGCATGTGTGCATGGCAGGCATGGCAGTCATGGCATGGCAAGCAGGCAATGGAAACCGTGGGGAAGGTGCATGGGCAAGCCTTTATGGCCCATGCATGCATGTGGGAAGAGGCGGGAGGAGGCAATGGGGAATTAACAGACGCAGCAGATTTATGAAGCTGACAGGTCACCCGGCAATGGGCAAATGACAGTGAGAATCCGGCTGGGAAACGACGAATAGAAATCAATGACAGAGACAATGAGAAAAGTAGAAGCAAAAATGGCAATAACAATATAATTTGAAACTGGCAATGGTGGCAAGCTGAATGGATGAGAAATTGATGGGAAGAGTGAGAACGGAAACTTGGCAAGAAGAATGACAACGAAGGCTTGTGAAAATTGGGGGACAAAGGGCAATATGAAAAGGTTCAGGACCTGACAGAAAAAAGAATCAATGGTGATGGGAACATGAATGGGTGAAGTGAAACTGTGAATAGGAAAGAAGGAATTGGGAAGCTGGAAGTAAAGTAGGGTAGAGTTGAAGGGTAGAGTTGAATAGAAAAATGGCAATATGTCATTGATTGATTGGTAAAAATGACAATAACATGAGAAGCATTGAGAGGTGACAATGGAAGATGACTGGACGAATGACGAGCGAACAATGGGAAAACGAGGTGACAAGAAAAAACACGAATGAGAACGGGATCAATAGAATGGGATCATGAGGATATAATAATGAAATTCATTAGAAGGAGAATGGGAGGTGGAAATGAAAGACAGAAAAATGCCAGTGGGAAAATGACTATGGCGTATGGGGACATGGAATGGGATGAGAAAGCAGGAATAATCTGCACAGTTGAGAAAGTCGGCATGTACAGGCAAGTGGCATTGTTTGGCACGCCAGAATGCATGGTAGAGGAAACAATTGCGACCGGGAGATTGATCGGGGGGGGGGGGAGGAGAGAAGAATGTCGGTTCCCCTGGACAACTTACATGGAAGGGGGGAGGAGGGTGGGACATAATAGAAGTGAGAAGGGCAGTGGCAGAACCTGACTGGGGAATCTGACAGAGGGGAACCTGACTGAGGGGAACCTGACTGAGGGGAACCTGACTGAGGGGAATTTGACTGGGAGAAATGAAGTAACATCAGAAAATTGACAATCAGCGTAATAGGAAAATGGAAAACGACAATGGCAAAACCAGCAGTAATCAAAACAGGGATTGACTGAGAGTTCCTGAGGCAACTCACACAGTGGAAAAAAAATGATGCGTGGATGAGAATGAGATTATGACAATGCAACGATGGCTGTTGGAACATGTCACTTGCATGATGCGAGTGGAAGCATGGGAATGGGAGCATGTCAGTTACATGATGCGAGTGGAAGCATGGGAACGGGAGCATGTACAAGGGAATGAAACAACATATGACATTTGCAATATACATCGTTACAAGATGCTAAGACCACAATGACTAAAGTAGGAATCCTATCTACAGCTAAGACCATGAACTCTATGCAGCAGATCTATCGCCGTGCTCAGCTTATCCAAGAGCCTCCTTACAGGCCGCCCTCCAGCTGACCACATGCCTCCACCTCTCCTGCCATCTCTCCCACAACACCCTGCAAGCAGGGTGCAAATAGGGGTAAGTCCCGCCATGCGCCTGCCACCAGCCCCACCAGCCATGCTCATTCCACCCACACCACAACTCCCTCCACATCCCATGGCAACGCCTCCGGATCTGCTGCCTTCTACTGTGTTAATGCTATTAATCCTGCTGCTTTATCACCGTGCACTGCTTCCCTTGGGTGCTGCGCTGTATGGCTTTGGAATGCCACTGGTTGCTGCGGGGCGTGCCGTGGGAATGCGTGTGGCGGCCACTGCCGCTGCTGGAGCAGCCGGTTTACGAGTGCTGTGAGGCGCAGCCTGCACTGCCTTAGCCGCTGCAGCCGTGTGCGCTGCCCTGCTCTGCCCAGGCTGAGGGATTAGAGTCGCACCACCACCACCACGCCCTGAACCCGACCCCACACCTGCTGCTCGCCCTCCTGCTGCCTCCACTCTTCCCAACGTCGCCTTCCCTGCAGCTGCTGCTGCTGCTGCTGCACACACTGCCGCACCTGCTGCCATCCCATTGCACTGGTCCCTCACCTTCTCTCCTGCCGCTTTTGTTGGCATCCTCCCCACTGGGCTGGGCTTAACAGCAACACTGCTTGTAGCTGCAGGCGTCATACATGCGGCCTTGGCTAGCGCTCCTTTAGCAGCTGCAGCTGCAGCTGCAGGCTAGGCAGAAATGCTTCTAGCAGCAGCAGCCTTGTCTGGTGCAGCTGCAGATGCACGCGTTCCCGAGAGTATTCTCGGTGGGAAGTCGAAACGGGAGTTCGCTTTGGTGGTTGGCGGTGCGCAAAAAAAGCAGAACACCGGTGAAGTGTCGGCCAAACCGAAGTCAACTCCTACGGCAGCAGGCGCTGGGACCAGCGGGGGAAAGGCCAAGGCAGGCGCTTGGGCAAGCGGGGTAAAGGCCAAGGCAGGCGCTGGGGCAAGCGGGGTAAAGGCCAAGGCAGGCGCTGGGACCAGCGGGGTAAAGGCCAAGGCAGGCGCTGGGACCAGCGGCGTAAAGGCCAAGGCAGGCGCTGGGGCTAAACCGACCACTAAGCAGGCCAACGCAAAAACCAAAGGTCAGACTTTTGCCGCATTGCATAGCACTGCGGGATGGTACCACTCTTTATTTGTGGCATGCTTGCTGATGTCACGTCGCTTTCCATCCTTCCCTGCCGTCGCTTTCCTCCCATCCATGCCGTCACCGTCATCCCATCCCTGCCGTCACCTTCATTACATCCCTGCCGTCCCCTTCATCCCATCCCTGCCGTCACCTTCATCCCATCCCTGCCGTCCCCTTCATCCCATCCCTGCTGTCACCTTCATCCAATCCCTGCCGTCCCCTTCTTCCCATCCCTGCCGTCACCTTCATCCCATCCCTGCCGTCCCCTTCATCCCATCCCTGCCGTCACCTTCATCCCATCCCTGCCGTCCCCTTCATCCCATCCTTGTCGTCCCCTTCATCCCATCCCTGTCGTCACCTCTGACCCGTCCCTCAGTCACCTTTCCTCCATCTCTTCCGTCCCGTATACAATCAACAGCTCCCAATCAGTACTCTGGAGCTGCACCACCGGTGAAGGTGATCACTGAAGCCACCAAGCACTATGAGCTCGTCCCCGTCAAGAAAACCCCGTTTGTGGCGGCATCCTGTGATCGCCGCCAGGAGCATGGTGGTGTATCAAACGTGGAGCTTGACCAATTCGAGCGACGCGTGATGGCAAGGTTCGCCGAGATGCTGTCGGCCATACTTCGGGGTGCTGGTCCATCCGTCCCAATCGGAGCGCCTGCAGCAACTCCTCCTCATTCTGGCCCGAGCACCAGCTCGTCAGAAGGCCTTCCCTCCAGCAATAGTCCCCTGGCAAACCATCGCAAAATCGTGTACAAAGCGGTAGTCGACTTCAAGGTGCGTTCCCTGTAATACACTGTGTGTGCGTTTCCTAGATTGTTGCTCGACCTCTCTGCCCCTCTCCCCTCAATCATAAGCCCCATTTGCTTCCCTTGCTTGGAACTAGAGAGTTGAAGCTTTTCCTTAACACTGACACATTCTGTGCCATCCAGGCACCTCCTAACCACAACAGTAAACCCCGCTTGCTTCCCCATCCAGGCCTAGGGAGGTGAGGCTTTACCTAAACCCCAACCCCCACTGCCTGCCTGCCCACTCTCCCCTCAACCCGAATCCCCATTTGCTTCCCCATCCAGGCATAGGGAGGTGAGGCTTTACCTAAACCCCAACTCCCCTCTTGCTTGCCTGGCCACTCTCCCCTCAACCAGAAACCCCACCTGCTACCCTAAATCCAGGCCTAGGGAGGTGAGGCTTTACCTAAACCCCAACTCCCCTCTTGCTTGCCTGGCCACTCTCCCCTCAACCAGAAACCCCACCTGCTACCCTAAATACAGGGCTAGGGAGGTGAGGCTTTACCTAAACCCCAAGTCCCCTCTGCTTGCTTGCCCACTCTCCCCTCAACCCCAAACCCCACTTGCTTCCCCATCCAGGCATAGGAAGGTGAGGCTTTACCTAAACCCCAACTCCCCTCTTGCTTGCCTGCCCACTCTCCCCTCAACCCGAAACCCCACCTGCTACCCTAAATTCAGGCCTAGGGAGGTGAGGCTTTATCTAAACCCCAACTCCCCTCTGCTTGCCTGCCCACTCTCCCCTCAACCCCAAACCCCGCTTGCTTCCCCATCCAGGCATAGGGAGGTGAGGCTTTACCTAAACCCCAACTCCCCTCTGCTTGCCTCCCCACTCTCCCCTCAACCCCAAACCCCACTTGCTTCCCCATCCAGGCATAGGGAGGTGAGGCTTTACCTTAACCCCAACTCCCCTCTACCTGCCTGCCCACTCTCCCCTCAACCCTAAACCCCACTTGCTTCCCATCCAGGTTTAAGGAGGTGAGGCTTTAACTAAACCCCAACTCCCCTCTGCTTGCCTGCCCACTCTCCCCTCAACCCCAAACCCCACTTGCTTCCCCATCCAGGCATAGGGAGGTGAGGCTTTACCTAAACCCCAACTCCCCTCTGCTTGCCTCCCCACTCTCCCCTCAACCTCAAACCCCACTTGCTTCCCCATCCAGGCATAGGGAGGTGAGGCTTTACCTTAACCCCAACTCCCCTCTACCTGCCTGCCCACTCTCCCCTCAACCCTAAACCCCACTTGCTTCCCATCCAGGTTTAAGGAGGTGAGGCTTTAACTAAACCCCAACTCCCCTCTGCTTGCCTCCCCACTCTCCCCTCAACCCCAAACCCCACTTGCTTCCCCATCCAGGCATAGGGAGGTGAGGCTTTACCTAAACCCCAACTCCCCTCTTGCTTGCCTGGCCACTCTCCCCTCAACCAGAAACCCCACCTGCTACCCTAAATCCAGGCCTAGGGAGGTGAGGCTTTACCTAAACCCCAACTCCCCTCTTGCTTGCCTGGCCACTCTCCCCTCAACCAGAAACCCCACCTGCTACCCTAAATACAGGGCTAGGGAGGTGAGGCTTTACCTAAACCCCAAGTCCCCTCTGCTTGCTTGCCCACTCTCCCCTCAACCCCAAACCCCACTTGCTTCCCCATCCAGGCATAGGAAGGTGAGGCTTTACCTAAACCCCAACTCCCCTCTTGCTTGCCTGCCCACTCTCCCCTCAACCCGAAACCCCACCTGCTACCCTAAATTCAGGCCTAGGGAGGTGAGGCTTTATCTAAACCCCAACTCCCCTCTGCTTGCCTGCCCACTCTCCCCTCAACCCCAAACCCCGCTTGCTTCCCCATCCAGGCATAGGGAGGTGAGGCTTTACCTAAACCCCAACTCCCCTCTGCTTGCCTCCCCACTCTCCCCTCAACCCCAAACCCCACTTGCTTCCCCATCCAGGCATAGGGAGGTGAGGCTTTACCTTAACCCCAACTCCCCTCTACCTGCCTGCCCACTCTCCCCTCAACCCTAAACCCCACTTGCTTCCCATCCAGGTTTAAGGAGGTGAGGCTTTAACTAAACCCCAACTCCCCTCTGCTTGCCTGCCCACTCTCCCCTCAACCCCAAACCCCACTTGCTTCCCCATCCAGGCATAGGGAGGTGAGGCTTTACCTAAACCCCAACTCCCCTCTGCTTGCCTCCCCACTCTCCCCTCAACCTCAAACCCCACTTGCTTCCCCATCCAGGCATAGGGAGGTGAGGCTTTACCTTAACCCCAACTCCCCTCTACCTGCCTGCCCACTCTCCCCTCAACCCTAAACCCCACTTGCTTCCCATCCAGGTTTAAGGAGGTGAGGCTTTAACTAAACCCCAACTCCCCTCTGCTTGCCTCCCCACTCTCCCCTCAACCCCAAACCCCACTTGCTTCCCCATCCAGGCATAGGGAGGTGAGGCTTTACCTAAACCCCAACTCCCCTCTGCTTGCCTCCCCACTCTCCCCTCAACCCCAAACCCCACTTGCTTCCCCATCCAGGCATAGGGAGGTGAGGCTTTACCTTAACCCCAACTCCCCTCTACCTGCCTGCCCACTCTCCCCTCAACCCCAAACCCCACTTGCTTCCCCATCCAGGCATAGGGAGGTGAGGCTTTACCTAAACCCCAACTCCCCTCTGCTTGCCTCCCCACTCTCCCCTCAACCCCAAACCCCACTTGCTTCCCCATCCAGGCATAGGGAGGTGAGGCTTTACCTTAACCCCAACTCCCCTCTACCTGCCTGCCCACTCTCCCCTCAACCCGAAACCCCACCTGCTACCCTAAATCCAGGCCTAGGGAGGTGAGGCTTTACCTAAACCCCAACTCCCCTCTTGCTTGCCTGGCCACTCTCCCCTCAACCAGAAACCCCACCTGCTACCCTAAATACAGGCCTAGGGAGGTGAGGCTTTACCTAAACCCCAAGTCCCCTCTGCTTGCCTGCCCACTCTCCCCTCAACCCCAAACCCCACTTGCTTCCCCATCCAGGCATAGGAAGGTGAGGCTTTACCTAAATCCCAACTCCCCTCTTGCTTGCCTGCCCACTCTCCCCTCAACTCGAAACCCCACCTGCTACCCTAAATTCAGGCCTAGGGAGGTGAGGCTTTATCTAAACCCCAACTCCCCTCTGCTTGCCTGCCCACTCTCCCCTCAACCCCAAACCCCGCTTGCTTCCCCATCCAGGCATAGGGAGGTGAGGCTTTACCTAAACCCCAACTCCCCTCTGCTTGCCTCCCCACTCTCCCCTCAACCCCAAACCCCACTTGCTTCCCCATCCAGGCATAGGGAGGTGAGGCTTTACCTTAACCCCAACTCCCCTCTACCTGCCTGCCCACTCTCCCCTCAACCCTAAACCCCACTTGCTTCCCATCCAGGTTTAAGGAGGTGAGGCTTTAACTAAACCCCAACTCCCCTCTGCTTGCCTGCCCACTCTCCCCTCAACCCCAAACCCCACTTGCTTCCCCATCCAGGCATAGGGAGGTGAGGCTTTACCTAAACCCCAACTCCCCTCTGCTTGCCTCCCCACTCTCCCCTCAACCCCAAACCCCACTTGCTTCCCCATCCAGGCATAGGGAGGTGAGGCTTTACCTTAACCCCAACTCCCCTCTACCTGCCTGCCCACTCTCCCCTCAACCCTAAACCCCACTTGCTTCCCATCCAGGTTTAAGGAGGTGAGGCTTTAACTAAACCCCAACTCCCCTCTGCTTGCCTGCCCACTCTCCCCTCAACCCCAAACCCCACTTGCTTCCCCATCCAGGCATAGGGAGGTGAGGCTTTACCTAAACCCCAACTCCCCTCTGCTTGCCTCCCCACTCTCCCCTCAACCCCAAACCCCACTTGCTTCCCCATCCAGGCATAGGGAGGTGAGGCTTTACCTTAACCCCAACTCCCCTCTACTTGCCTGCCCACTCTCCCCTCAACCCCAAACCCCACTTGCTTCCCCATCCAGGCATAGGGAGGTGAGGCTTTACCTAAACCCCAACTCCCCTCTGCTTGCCTCCCCACTCTCTCCTCAACCCCAAACCCCACTTGCTTCCCCATCCAGGCATAGGGAGGTGAGGCTTTACCTTAACCCCAACTCCCCTCTACCTGCCTGCCCACTCTCCCCTCAACCCGAAACCCCACCTGCTACCCTAAATCCAGGCCTAGGGAGGTGAGGCTTTATCTAAACCCCAACTCCCCTATGCTTGCCTGCCCACTCTCCCCTCAACCCGAAACCCTACCTGCTACCCTAAATACAGGCCTAGGGAGGTGAGGCTTTATCTAAACCCCAACTCCCCTCTGCTTGCCTGCCCACTCTCCCCTCAACCCAAAACCCCACTTGCTTCCCATCCAGGTTTAGGGAGGTGAGGCTTTACCTAAACTATGACTTATGCTCTGTCTGCCCCCTCTACCATCAACCCGAAACCCCACTTGCTTCCCCACTTGCTTCCCCGCCCTCTACCCTCAAGCCGAATAGCCACTTGCAAACCCTTACCGCTTGCCTTCCATATCTGCCACCTCCCCTATCCCCCTCCAATCTACAGGAATTGTCTAGGCGTGTAGCAACACATCTTTGCTTCAACATTGAAGCTTCAATGATTCAGTTCTACCCATCCGCGGAAGAGGCCTTAGATCATGGGTTTAGCGAGTTTGTGTCGCCACAGGTTCTGGCCTCGTTGCGTGCGCTCTTTCAGCACAACGATGCCAGCACCAGAGGGGTCTTTATCGAGCAGCTGTCCTCAACTACGACTTCTATCAACGGCTGGATGAGAAAGGTGGCACTCACGGCGTTGGGTCGGCAGGCGAACATGTGCTACTTGGGGAGGTTACCAGCAGATCTGCTTTCACCACTCGAGTTCTACACGGATGAGGAGCTCATTGCACGTTACAAGGATGGTGAGTTTGTATGAAGCTTTTGATCCCGCAGTTGTTGTTATGTGTGTAGCAATAATTTCTATAAGCACTACTTTGTTCCACGTTGCCCCTTTCGGTTGCCCTCTAGTCACCATCATGTCAGCACCTTTCATCCCTATGTCTCCTATGACCACGCAATCCCATTTCAGGGGAGAGGGGGCTGGCATGGCATCGGGAGCTCCTCATCCCTTTCGGCAGCCTCATCTTCTCGGTGTCCATCAAGTTGGCTTTGGCGCGTCGTGGGGTCAATTCTGAGAAGATTAAGACCCGCCAGCTGGGTTGGATCCTATATGCGGTGAGTTTATGGACAAGGTGTTATGTTTGTTGCCTCGTGTGCGATGAGCGATTTAGTGTTGTGTTAACCTTTTTCTGTTCATTTGTTCCACTACATTCCCACCTCATACCCACCACATTCCTACAGTTTGAGTGGCCAATCCTCAACAACGCGCCTGATGGGAAGTTGAGTGGCAAGTGGGAGTACAATCGGATCCAGTACGAGGAGATGTGCACCCGTGTGAAGCGGGAGGTCGAGATCGCTGTCATTGACCATGGTGTCCCATACGCCAAAAATACGAACACTTTCAACTTCCCCAACGGCGTCTACATCGACGCGTCTCACATGGAGACCCTTGTCAGCAGGGTGCAGGTAAGTCATCCCTAGGACCAAAACCTTGCTAATATGGCACCGACACTTTGCTTATGTGGCACCAAGATCTTGCTATGGCACCAGCATTGCTGAATTCCTCCCATCTCATCCGTCCCCTTCCTCCCATCTCATCCGTCCCCTTCTTCCCATCTCATCCGTCCTCTTCTTCCCATCTCATCCGTCCCCTTCCTCCCATCTCAACCGTCCCCTTCCTCCCATCTCATCCATCCCCTTCTTCCCATCTCATCCATCCCCTTCTTCCCATCTCATCCATCCCCTTCTTCCCATCTCATCCGTCCCCTTCCTCCTATCTCATCCGTCCCCTTCCTTCCATCCCCTTCCGTCCCCTATGCCTCTTTGCACAGGCTGCAGGACCTGCACCAGCCCGGGTTGTCACCCCAAACCCGTAATCACAGAGGTCAGCAGCAGCACTAGGGGGATCGGTGCAGGTCGTAGCAGTGGCAGTAGCAACCTGCAGGAGCAGCACGGAGACAGGTGCGGAGTAGCGTAGCAGTCGCAATAGCAACCTGCAGGAGCAACACAGAGATTGGTGCGGAGGGGCGTAGCAGTGGCGGTAACAACTAGTAGCCGCAGCATGGGGACATGCGGAGCAGCAGTGGCAGCAACGGGACAGGTGCGGAGCAGCAGGGGCAGCATGGGGACAGGTGCGGAGCAGCAGGGGCAGCAGGGGGACAGGTGCGGAGCAGCAGTGGCAGCATGGGGACAGGTGCGGAGCAGCAGTGGCAGCATGGGGACAGGTGCGGAGCAGCAGTGGCAGCATGGGGACAGGTGTGGAGCAGCAGGGGCAGCATGGGGACAGGTGCGGAGCAGCAGTGGCAGCATGGGGACAGGTGCGGAGCAGCAGGGAAGGATGTGGCAGTGCTCTTATCATCAATAGAACCAACCCACCATCAGTAGAAGGATGTGGTAGTGTAGAAGCAATACAGTTGTTCGGTATTGTTTTGCTATATCTGGAGGTACATTATGCTGTAATATGTTTCTGCAATAAAAATGGTTTTTAAAATGAAATTCCAATCAAATGGCAGTTTTGTATTGGGCCCAACCAGACTCTAGTTTGGGACCATGTTTGGTCCAACTTGGGTTAAAGCTGAGAGTAGATTTGGTAAAAAAATGGTCCTCAAACTCATCTAAAGTTTGGCCAAACATAGCCCAAACTTCATCTTAGCAACTACACCAATATTGGTCCACACAATGAGACCAATAATGGCCCGATTTTGGACGGAACCACCAAAATTGGTCCAAATATTGACCTATCTAATAGGGGGGTTTTTGTGATGGTCTTCCTCGCTGAAATCGTTCCAGAATTCGTGATCAATGGCCAATGACGTCAGCGGCGCGTAAAGCCACGTGCCATCCGCCTTGCTGAAGTCCTTCCAGAATTCATAATCGATTGAGGGGCTTGTAAACTGGAGCGGGGAGGCAGTTCGCGAGGCCATTGTTCGAGCGGGAGGCTAAGCAGCAGGGAAAATACAAGTCTCGAGAAGCAGAAGTTGATAAAAGATAATAGGTGTCAGAATGAAGCGAGGACTCGCACAGGTGTTGTGGTTTGAATGGATATGATGAGTGGCTTTGTAGTTTTGGGAAGGCACGACAACTCCAAAGTGAAGGGTGGATGGAGCAGTCACATACGCTGGGTAGGCGAGGGGAACCAATTGCTGCCCGCATTAAAAACTCTATTCATTCCGTAAAGCGCGTGCTCTGGTTTATGGTTCGTGCCGAACCTACGGAGAGGTCGGGCAGCCAATAGCATGCTACCCAATTTCTTTGCTCCAAGCGCGATCTCAGCTTTGCCCGTGGCTGAATGCTAAACCGAGGGCCCAGCCCTAGTCCTCGAACCAGCACGGCTCTGGGCAGCAAAATTTCAGCGTTCTTTGCTGCCCAAACTCATGGCCAGTCTCCCTTCCGTCAAGCTCGCCGCTGCTGAACCGGCGATTCGTCTGCGGAAACAAGACGCTTGCTCTCGGTTGACTGAATGTGGGGCTCCTATGGGTGTAGTCTTTGATCGAAACTACGCTCGAGGCTGCCATGGCTTGTGTTTCAATCCGTCAACGTCAACGAATGGGAAGAACAAACTGCCTAGCAGCAATCAGCGGACTCGAATACGACGGAGGCCGATCGGATCACACTACGGCGTGGCGCGTATTTATCGGAAGATCTCTGTGTTCGCATGGAAATCGGACGGTCCTCAGCAGCTCAAGAGATCTCGAAGTACTCAGGAACAAGTCTCGAGGAACTAGGGTTCCTCTCCCAAAACGCTTGTCCAGCCAGGTCGAGAGAATTTCTCCAGTGGCCAATCGGGTGATTCATCCTCTCTCGGGGGGCCTCGATTTACTCGAGTGGCCACAACATTGGGTGATCATTACTCGAGTGGCCACGCCAGGGGATTCCTGCTCGCTTTTTTTTCACCGGCATATTACCCTACGGGGCTTTGTAGCCCCAAAATTCCTTATTCGTGCGAGTGGTATCTCTAGGTGGTGTTCCGTACCTTCAAATTTCGCCAGGCTCACGGACGCGAAAGTGGCTCGCCTACTGTACAAGAAACCGACCAACAGTACATTGACCGGGCAGTTTCGGCCAAATGCGCGACCAATGAGCGCGCGGTCCATCTAATTAACATCCAATCAGCGATCGAGCATATGACTTCGCGATCATATACTGCATTTCACCCGAAACGAACCGACACAGCAAAACGACCGCGCTCGATTGGTCAGGAGATAGAGCGGTGCATTTGTTGCCACTGCGCGTCTAATCAGGCGCAAGATTTACGGATTGCCGATCATATTTGAACGCGTTCATTAAACACAATTTACTATATGATCCCGCCAATCATATGCGCACTAATATTTGTTAGTGCGCCGTCCTATTTTATATATGGTTGCCATTTCATTTGGACGGGGATGATTGGACGCTCAATGACAAAGCATATCCTGAGATTAAAACAAACCAATCACGCGCGGTAATTTAGTTTATCGCGAGTTGATGGCCGATATTTCGGTATATGATGGGGAATTCAATGATGGCGCCTGATTGGACGCTCAATGGCAACATATGCACCGCGCACGTTTTTTACAAATCATGCGTGTGCATTAGGGGTGTGGCTGTTCGCTTCGGGTCTTAAGGATTATATGATCGAGAAGTTATATGCTCGATCTCTGATTCGTTCGGAATTAGATGGACCGCGCGCTCATTGGTCGCGCATTTGGCCAAAACTGACCAGTCAATGGATTGTTGGTCGGTTTCTTGTACAGTGGGCGGGCCACTTTCGCGTCCGTGAGCCTGGCGAACAGAACGGAACACTACCTAGGGATACCACTCGCACGAAAAAGGAATTTTCGAGGCTACAAATCCCCGTAGGGTAATAGCGAGCAGGAATCCCCTGGCGTGGCCACTCGAGTAATTATCACCCAATTTCGTGGCCACTCGAGTAAATCGAGGCCCCCCGAGAGAGGATGAATCACCCGATACTGGAGAAATTCTCTCAGCCAGGTCCCAAGGTTGGGATGCGAACGAAATAAACGAATGCTTCTATGTGCCTATCCGTTATATGACATAGAGAACTATGCATTCCTTGTGCAATTTATAATCTTTAAGTTAGAAAAGGTAAAGCATTTTGACCTCCAAGCTGAATCCAGCTTACCATGTCAGCCTCCTAGAACATATTTCATTTCAAAAGATTTCAGCTCTCAAGAGAAATGACGATTGACGAACATGGTTTCATGAACCAAATGAATGCATCTTATAAAATACATGAACAAAACAGGTTCGTCGTACACATTAATCTCCCGTGTAAACCACTCCAAGTTCCCTTACACTTCCCTACTTCTTTTGCATGCTGCTCTCCCCCACCCAAACTCCTTTCTACCTTGCCGAAGGGAGATGCCTCTCGTTCGATGAGACACACAATGCCATGACACACGTCGGCTGACATGCAACGGCTGACAAACACGCCTTGCCTGGCTTGCACACACACACCCATCTATGCTCGCAGAAATGACGGATGGGTGGATGGGCGAGTCGATGCGGCCCATGCATGGGGAGGCGGTGCAAGGCAAGGGAAATGATAGAGGAGGAGTAATCCAAGGGATGTGAAGCTGACAGGGCACAAGGCACGATGGGTCGTCAAGTGGGGATATACCAAGCAGCAATGGGAAGCTGGTTGGACAAAAGGAAACATGAGGAATTGACAACTCTATTGGGAATGAAAAGTTTATTGAAAAATGGCAATCGAAAGTTGTCGCTAAAGGGCAGTCGGAAGCTGGTGAATAATGGTAGTGGGAAGTTGAATGGGAAACGGGAATGGATGAGAGGATGGCGATCAGTGAGAGGATGGCTGGTAGGAAGTTTTTTTTTAGAAATGGTGGCTGGACAGATGACACCAGTATGAGAAGACTCGGCGAAATGGCAGGTGACTGGAAAGCTTCACTGGGGAAACAGAAGGTAGAATTTGAACAAGAAAACGATAATGCGACACGACACTGATTGCAACGGAAAGCCACTTCAGTGACCAGCCCACCACCACTACCATGTGTACCTAGGCATGCTCACACTTGGAGCAGGTTTATGCTTTTGGGTTCACGTGGTGAAGAATTTGGTGGTGCGTGATGGTGGTTGGCTAGCAGGCATGGCAAGGATGCAAGGGACTAGCACTCCTATGCTGTGGTACCACGTGTGGATGGCAGCCATAGCAGGCATGGGAATCGCAATGGGGAGATGTCTGGAGAACTAAAGTGAGAATGTGAGTTGAAACATGTCAAGGGGAACTTGTAGGACAAAAACGGTTAAAATTTGACTAGGAATGGCATTTAGAGAAGCCATAGCGAATGAAAAATCTGAGCGAATGAGCACGCGAATAGGGAATTTCAAGTGCTACCTTGACTGGGGAAAAATGCTATGGGCAACAGTTGGTGCCGAAAAGCTCACAATGCAACATGACCCGGACGTCTATCATGCCATGTGTGCATGGCAGGCAGGCACGGCAGGCAGGGATATGATGCAAGCAAAAGAACGGTCCGGAGGGGAGGAGAGGTGGCTACTGGGATGATGGACGGATGGATGGGATGGGGGAGCGTGTGGTGCCACCCGGCTCGCCCATCCTCTCATGCACGCGGAGGCAGCGCAGCGCATGGGAGAGGAGCACTTGGCCAATGAAGCAACTGGCTGGGGACATAGCAATGGAAAGCTCGCTGGGCAGTTGACAATGGGGAGGTTCACAAGGAAAATGGCAATGAGAAGATGACTTCGACAGGGCTACGGAAGCCGAATGAAAATGGGGAAGTCGCTGGAAAAGTGGTGACTGGAAGTTGGCTTGACGAATGACAACATAAGATGGCTCAGAAATTGGCAATGGAGGGTGACATGCTGCTGGGAAGATGGATGTGTAATTGTGAGCGAATGGAAAAGAAGGTGTTGGAAAGTTGATTGGAAAGTGGTTTTGAGAGGCTGGCAATAGACAGCTGGCATGAATGAGAAGGGAACTGGACAAGACATGAGACTGAAACGGGAAGCGATGGCAGAAATTGACAGTAAGCCATGGCAGTATCATGAGACGAATCACGGCAAGATGACAAGATTGAGAAGTAAAAACTCACGATTGACTTGGAAAACAGCAGTGGCAATAGGGATTGAACATGCAATATGACAACAGAATAGGTTAGGCAAGTGGGAATGGGAAGCCAACCGGAAAAATAAAAGTCTTACAAAGTTGAAGGTAGGAATACGACAATGAGAAATTGCAAGCGTACAGATAAGAATGCGAAAAACGTGGGGAAGACATATGCGAAATGAGGTTGGGAGGCAAGAAAAAAACTTGTAACTTGCACGGCATTCCTCAACCCCCTTGCCCTGCCTGAATCCCCCATCCTCCCTCCCACCAACCTT